TGGTGTATGATGAGTGGTGTATGATGAGTGGTGTATGATGAGTGGTGGTTGAACAGCTGTTGAATGTCCGTAACACGGAAGTTTTGCACACTAAACTTCCTTTGACTACTACTTCTACTACTACTACTACTACCACTACCACTACTACTACTACTACTACTAATACTACTACTACTACTACTATACTACTACTCCTACTCCTACTCCTCCTGCTGCTGCTCCTGCTACTGCTATTGCTACTGCTACGACGATGATATACTACGACTACTGTAAATACTGCTACTCTACAATATGTCATTTACAAACAGTCCACCGCATGTTGGGCAGCTTCCACTCTGGAATCCTCTGAGTCTGGTGTATGCCATGTCGTTGACACTACAGCGTGGCCCACGGCCCCTGGTTTTCCCCGAAATGCCGCTCATGGAAGCTGAGCAAGAAGAACCGCCATGGAAACCCATCGACACAACGACGATCACACCCCAGCGCCGCCGCGGAGGGGAAGGCGCCTTTGCCCTTGCCACTGGTGCGCGCTTCTTCCATGCTTTGACGAGCCTCTCATCCGCAACGCAGCAGCAGGAAAGGGGAACTGGATCATCCAGCCTCTTGCATACAACAACCGCGCTCACCATTGCAACACTATAGCTATACTTGCCTGTCCTTAGATCTTCAAGGGTTTGGTTTGACCTTTAGGGGTTCAGTAGTAACTGAATCCCTTATGAACCAAAGGGGCTAAGGGTTTAAGAGCATACAGCATACCAAAAGGGAGCTATAGAACAGCTATAGAATAGCCAAATGGATGCCTTTTTCGGCCATCTCTCGAAAGGCCAAGTGGTCCATGGATGTCCCTGATCCCTCCATGGTCACCCACTCCCTGGTGCTCCGCCGCTGGCTCCCTCCTGCGAGGCTCGCCCGAGGCCAGGGTCGGGGATGTCCGCCGCCTGAGAAGCCAGCTCAGGGCGGGGGTCCGGGCCCAACTGCCGAAAAGGAGGCGTGATTTGGAAGCTACAATTACGTGTGACCACCCAAAAAGAAAGAGAGGGAGGAAGGGAGGGGGAGAGGGAGAGGGGTGAAGGAGAGGGGCAGGAAAAGCATGCACTTTTTGCTAGACCATGTGTTGGAGGGTCATGAAACCAATCATAAACAATCCATCTTGTCCTGACCAGGTCCCTTGCAACTTGGCTTCAACTTGGCTGAAAACGCGCAGCTTCGTTGCCCCTCAAAAGCCAACACTTCGAACGATGCCCCTTTCCGAATCGAATCCAGGCTGAACCAGTCCACAAACCAACCCGTGACCTGCAGCACACTTAGACGCCTCTGGGTCTTTTGCTGAGGTGTCCTTCGGTCTCTAGTCTGGAAATCATATGTTTTTTCTGTTTGATATAAGCTGAGGGTGAAGGTCGCTCAGTGCAACGATCCATACCACGGGAATTCATCCCTCAACTCCGGGAGGGATCTGACAAGTCAGCCGTGGTGGATAGGTCGGGTCTCCCTGCTTTCACGTCTGGAGATCAGATCCTCCCTCCTGTCAGGGCTGTTAATGGGCCCCAAAGTGGGGGCCCTGGAGGATGTCTGTGAAAGAAAGAAAGGCTGGGTGTCTCCAGCTATTGGAGAGTTCAGCCCTACTCTGCCCAGTGAATCAAGGGAAGTAGAACAGGATCACGCACAAAAAACAACACACTTCCTGGAGTCTCAAAGTACCTCAGAACATGGGTACAAACACCTGTTCTTAAATAGGGATCGCGTCAAGTCGCGTCCCCCCTGTTCTATAGTCCTTGAAGTCGAGTCCAGGTCTGAAGATCACATCAAAACTGTATCAAAACACATCAAAACTGTATCAAAATACATCAAACTGTATCAAAATACATCAAAATACATCACACAAGTTGACTCCAGGTCTAAACACTGAGTCGGGTCCAAACACTTTGAGTCGGGTCCAGGTCTAAAGATCTGAAACATCCAATCGCTTGCAGTGCAGAAACAAACAGCCTTCCGCACCGGTTCCGGACCCGGCTGGGCGTCCCGGACCAACGGTTCCACCTGGCGACCGGCCCGGTTTACCGGGCCCGGTTGACCGGTTGGACCGGGGCAAAGACCCGACATCGGCCCCATCTGTTGGTAGTTGTACAGTTTGGGCCAAGCCCAGAACGAACCCAGAACGAAGCAAATATGCAGATGGTGTCTGTTTTTGGCTGCATCATGTTTCAACATGTGTCAACGTTCACATCTTCTCTGAGTCACTTGTGCGCCCCATTCAAAAAACAAAGAACCCACAGCACAGGCTTTTGGAAGACTATGGAACACTTGACCTTCTACGCTCGAACCCACGGCTGGTCACCCATGACAGGTGTGTCCGCACAGTGAATCATCCCCCTGTCTGTGGTGAAACCCACTTGAGCCACACAGAACCAAGCGCAAGCCGGTGAGCCTTCTCGTCCTCCTCCTCATCATCCTGACATCTGTTCCAGGGAACATGTGTGTGTGTGCCTGCAGGTGTCAAACCAATTTATGCATGGATGGTCATGTTTTCTCCAAGATTTTTTGGATGGCATTCCTTCATTCTGAGACCTGGCAACAACTAGAACAACTCACCCACTCGTGAGCAAAAGAGAGCAAAAGCACCCATCCTGTGGTACGGTACCAAAACACCAGCAGAAAAACCGCTGGCCTCGCAAAAACCCATTCCTGAACCAAGTCAGTTCACTCTTCAAAGCAAGGTCGAGCCTTCGTTCCGGCCCAAACCGTCGGAGTCAGCACGTTTCGGAATTGTGCATATGTGTGTGTCGACGTCTCGCTCGCCGGCGCGCGCCGTCCGCGATCCGCCCAAGTCCACCGGGAAACTGCACTTGAAAAAAAGGCACTTGAAGAACATACCAGGACTTTTCGAAGCCTTGGAGTTTCTTCCGGACCCCTCCCGTTCGTTCGCAGGTCCAGGAGACCTGACATTCGCAACTGGGGCTACTTGGACCGAAGAAAAGCATGTTTGTGGCAGGTGCGTTGAACCCTCGAAAAATATAAGTCAGTGGCTTCAATCATCCCAAGTAAAGGTTGAACATATCCCAAACCATCACCTTTAGATCCTACAGATGTCTGTGGCCGGTTCAGGTCCATGTTCGCAGTCAGCCGAACGGGTCAGCCGAACGGGGCGGACGAAGCCGGATTCGTGACGCGTGGCGCGGTCCTGCTCAAGCTCTTCCAGTCGACTGCTTGCAGCAGCCCAGGTGCCTGGCGATGTGCTTGGACCTTTACAGACCGAAAGAAGGCGCCTGTTGGAGGACTCGTTTTGGGCCCAGTTCGGCTCAGAGTCTGGACCCAACCCATTCGCCTTCGGGTGTGTTCACCACTCGGGCAACTTGGACCACAAAGAAGCATTGCAGGTGGTTCGGGTCCAGGGTCGGCTCAAACTGGTAACCTCTAGGGAGGCTTCAAGAGAGAGAGTGTTGCTTGTTCGACTTCATGTCACTCTGCAGGTGACATGCACGTACTCTCGGGAGACCTCCCAGTTTGACCCAAGGGAAGAAGGAACATAGACCAAGGCCAAGACGTCTCCCTATAAAGAATACACACCCACATCTTGCAGGGACATGTGTTGAACATGTCGTTCTCATCATCCAAGGCAGAACTGGTGAGCGCTGGTGGGGTGTTTTGTGCTTTGGGCAACAGCGCCTTACATGCACCAAGCTGACAACTCGCCAACTCGCTTGCCAGCGCCTATGTGTCAACTCTCCTTTCTGAAACCAAGGAGACCATCGAACCACAGCGAACATTTGGGAGGCCCAAACACCAAGAAACGACCGGGGTGGGAACCTCTCCGACTGGATTCCGCGCTATGGGGTGGGTCCATGGAGTGGGTCCAAGGGTTTCTCGAGTGGGTGTCAACGAGTGGTAGCCCTATTCTCAAGCCAGCAGACATGATTCACCATCGACAAAAACGACAGTCATGGCATGTCATGTTGCCATATCCATTCCCAGACCATCCATGGGACTGGAAGAGTGCACTCATATATGCATGGATGGGTCGTTTCATGGGGGCAAATGTTGGGTATATATCCCATTCCCCTGGGCCCCGTGGATGGTGAGGTTGCAGGCCCGACTTCATCTCGATCTAGAGAAGTGATGTCCTTATTCACCGATGTGTTTGACCGACTCTTACAGGCAAGGGGATCACCCCCAGTCCCCGCTCGACGCGATGCGGTTCCGATCGGCCACCGGGGCAAACACATCGGGCGGACGCGAGGCGGGATCCGGGGCCCAGGGCCGCGCCCCCCGGGAGACCCTGCCTTCCAGCGGTGCGAAGGCCTGGCGATTAGGTCACATGAATGATGTCACTTTGAACGGGGGGGGCAGCTGAAACTCAGCTGTTTGTTCAGCAGTCATATATCTAAAATTCTTGTGTTGAGCCTTCGTGAGCCCTTGTCGTTTTTTTTCATGTGGTGGTTGTAAGTCTTGGGGATCTAGTGACTGGAGGCCCCAGTGAATGCTCAACCCCCAAGAAACCTTGCAATTCCCACTAGAACAACGACAAGAGATTGATGGAATAACGACCAGAGTTCAACAAACGACCAGAGTTCAACAGATCCGAGCAAAAGCATCTCCTGAGATGGTTACTGAGCAAAAACTCCCCAGAACCTCGCTCACAGTGTGAAGACTCTTTTTGGGGGAGCAGCGCATGACGTTGGGGCAGCGCTTCGGCATGACTGCAACCACTGCCCAGCGGGGTTGGCGCCTCCCGGGACCATCTGGAAGGCTATATAACCTGTTCATTTCATGAATAAAGCCCCCAAATGAAGAGGTCCTACCGCTTTTACCATGCCAAACGAGGGGGGGTCATGAATTCAAGATTCCACCTTGGGCAAACACCCCACTTATCCCTATACTTAGCTTTGGATGACGGGAGAATCCGGAGGTCCTTTTCCATCTTTGGCCGCTGTCACTGTCCCAGGATCCGCGGAGAACACCTCCGCCCTCCTCCAGAAATCCCACGTACTACCGCCCTTTACAGACCCCACTCGCTGGTCGCACTGGCTTTTTGGATCGGTCGCGCTCCGGTCGTGTCATCCTCACCCCTCGCCGGCCTCGCCGGAGCGCGACGGGCGGCGCGGGTTGTCACGGCGCCTGGATGGGCTCGTGAAGGTCATCACCTGCAGCTTCCGGGGACGGCGGGACTGGCAGCGTCCGGGGACTGGCAGCGTCCGGTCGAGCCCGTGGTAGGACGGCACCGGTGAAGAGCGGTAAGGTAGGAAAGAGGTTCGGTGCCAGCACCCGACTTCACAGGTGCTTCCTGGTGAGATCCGGTGCCGAGAAAGCACCCACCTGTTAGGGTCTCCAAAGAGCCTGGCCAGGAGGGTCCTGGTGTAGATATGCTATTCCTCTTCATGATGATTCAGTGGAATCGTTGACCTCGATGATCCTAACTGGGTTCCAACTTCGTGGACAGTGATATGACCAGGTCCACCCATTTCGACCAGGCGCCCTTTCTGGTGCTCTCATTCCTTGTTCACCTGACCCCAAAGACCCAGAACGACCCGAATCATATCGAATCATCTCATCATCTCCTTGCTTCGAAGTGAACCCAAAACCGGGCAAAGAGCAGGTCGGTTGTTCCTTCACAAAGGTGTTTGTTTTGGGGCCGGGCCTGTTGTGGCAAGGAGTCTCAGGAAAATGAATACAAATATACAATATATGCTTTCAAACCAGCAGCACCGTGGTTTTTTGGACTCCCCATCCCATTGGTTCACCATCAAATAGCCATCCTTTGGGCGGTGCTGGAACATGATCATGATAATTGTAGTAATTTACTATATAATTGTTGTCCCACCAGATAGATTCCCAATGATTCCCACCTGCACCCTGCCTGCGTACGGCACAGAAGCATCCCCCCAGGACCAATCCTGGCACACATGACGCCACTCAAAACCACAATGATCCCATCAATGGGTCTCCTGGCTAGAAATTCCACCAGTCGTGGGCTGGGTAGTCGAAGGGTAGTCGTGGGCAGGTCCAGCCAGATGACCCGCAACGGAGGATCCAAACAAACACGTCCTCGACGAGGCTGCTCCTTCATCCGCTGGGCTGGGCGACAGAATGGCTTGAGCGCTCCGAATCCTTGGTCCTCTAAGGGGGATTGGCCTGACAAGCAGATCTTCGCTCAGAATCCGACCATCAGAGGGGTCGCACCCTGCAGAACTGGGCTTTCGTACCCTCAAAACATCTCCAAACCCTTTCTGTTGGCTCTGAATTCTTAGGGATTCTTAGGGCATTAGAGGGTACCAAATCAGTGCCGGCCTGCGAGTATGGTCGAAGGGAAGACCCAGGGTATTCATATATATATATATATCACACGGAGTCGGCATATGGCTCCAGTGTCATGTCCTGCTTTGCAATCAGTTCACCATCCAATCGTGTACAGGAACCTGACAAAGTCATCCCTTAGTCATCCCTTGCCACTCGTTCAATGCCAAATCACCATGGCAACGCTGTTTCCAAGAAGTCATCCCCCAGTCTCCCCCGGGAGCTAATCCCAATGGAACGCTGATACCCAAACAAGATGTCTCACCAAAAAAGTGACCTCAAAAAAGGCAGGGTAGCAACACCTCGAACAAGATGACAACATTGTCTTTTGAATGTAAAAACCTGGTCCCTCGAATGTAGCTGCACTCAACCCACTGAACTTTGCAACACAAATACACAGTTGCAAACAAGGGACGCTGGGTAGAAGAGTTGACAAACATACTCACACCCAACGGCAAGGTTGTGCAGCTGCAAAGGTAGAAAAGTGCCAAGAAGCTCACTACTCTCCTCCTTTTGTCGCTGTGGCATCTATCCTTCTACAGTCCGCAGCCAGTGCCCTCCGACTTTCTCATGGCCTTTGAGCTCTTCCACCCCCGCGGCCTGGGCCTGTGCGTACTCGAACCCCTCCTCGTAGTAGCCCATCTCATAGCCGTAGTCCGGATCCGCATAGCCCTGCGGAGGCCGGCCGTCGTTTGGACGGCAGGGGGAGCTGCACCTTATACCCCCCCGGCAAACTAACATGGAACCTGAGAATTGACCGGTGGAAGACTATGTTGCTCTACAACCCAGTGGTTTTGGAGGTTCCATGTGGTCCTCTGCAGGGGAGCACCACCGACAGGTGAACACATTGTGAACATACTGATGGAAAGAGGCAGACGGAACTGAGACTGCCAGCATCATCCTGTGGTGTGATGGCGTTCGACTACCCTACCCTAATTACTTACAGGATCTTACAGGTCTCCAGACAGGGCACCCGGCCAGGAAGTGCTGGGTGAGTCGTCGTTTTCGTGTGTTCCGGCAGCCCGGAGGAGGTCATCGTCCAGGAGTGTCCGTCCGTCTCACGCAGCGATGGTGTCTCGGTTTGGAGGATGGAGTGGTCTCAACGTCCGAGAAAACCCCAATAGGGATCAGAGGCACCACCAACAAACATCGGTAAATCGGGTCAGATCACTCTCCCTGGTTGCTGGAAATGATAGAAACTTCAACAACAAAAAACATTGAAAACACATTGAACCAAGTGGTTGCAGGGCTGTCCGGCCCTCAGTGGAACCAGGGATGTCCTGCGAAATCAGCAGATTGCGCTTCACCAACTACTCGACCAAATACGAGAGCAGTTTTTGCGATGATGTGGTTCAAACATGTTTGCACAAGGCCCAAGGGCAATCGGCATCAATCGGCTAGGAATCAAACTCTAGTAACTATAGTCAATCATTACCCTACAAGTTTGGAAGTGTCATTGCCTCTATTTCGCAACATGAAGTATACAGTATACCATTGAAGTCTTTACCAGCAAACCAAACCGGCGGGTCATTTGGGCGAGTGGTTTGCCACATGCATGCTAGCCATATCCCCGTTGTCCAGATAGTCTACCACAAAGGGTATACCTCTACCCACCACTCTTCTCGGCGGCTTGCCCAGTGTGACCAACCTCGGCCGGTCTTTTGGGGGTTGGACGAGTGATGGGCTGTCTGCGTCCGTGTGATGGTTCGATGGCGAGTTACGAAGAAGAAAAGAAATCACCCAACACACCAGGCACCATATACAGTATACAACAATATATATATATATATAGTTATAAGATGTTATAAGCAGTTGATATTAGTTACATAAATGTGTAATAATATATAGTTGTTCTTTCATGAGAACAACACCACAACACCCAAAGCACCATGTCCCCCTGCTTTCAGCCTCGAAGGGCTGCGCATCATAGCTCATGGGGTGCCCACCATATGCGTGTGCAGCGCCGTGCGCGCCGTGCGCACCGCACGGCCCAGCGTACGGGTGTGCATCAAAGCCCACGACCGGGTCGCCATGGGGCACTGGCCCATCAAAAGCCATTGGTCCATTAAAGCATCCCTCTTGCGCGCCATCGAATCTCATTGGCCCATCAAAGCCACCATCAAAGCCCATCTGCCCATCAAAGCACCCTTGCGATGGCACATCAAAAACCATTCCATCAAAGGCTGACGGACAGCTGTCCATCGTGCTCGATGGCCCATCAAAGTGCATGGCGGATTCATCACCCGCAGCAGCCTCGGCGGCAGCCTCCGCCGGGTTCCACCGGCGGGTGATGCGAACGAGGACGTCAAGAGATGCGAACGAGGACGTCACGAACCTGTGACGCCCGAGGCAAATTCACCAAAGGACCAGGATGTATGATTCTGTGATGTTTGTCAGGTGTATCTGTCAAGGGGCCATCTGGGTCCGACGGTCATCTCCCCCAACAAATAACTGAAAGGATCTCAAAAACCCCCCGTACCTGTTGATCCGGAGTGCCAGGTGAAAGTGCTTGTGTGCACGTTGCTTTTAAGAATGACCACCTGAGCCTTGAAAAGTAAATGAACCCAGTTCACACGGCTCACACGGCTCGGATGCACGCGAAACATGGAATTTGACATAAAACATCCGGGCTTCCTGCATGTTGGGAAAAGGATGTGGTGCGGGAGATCAGTGAAACGTCCAGAAAAATGCACAAAGTCGTTCAATCCACAGGCACCTCCATAAATATACTGAAGGCTGATCACATGTCATGTGCTATCACCGAAATACCATTCAACAATCCACTGCGACACGATCGCACGAACATGCGATTAAAGGCCCAACAACGCAAATTCATACTATGAAGGGATCATGACCGCTACAGAAATCAGTTCGTCACCGCCTGCAAACATTTCACAAATTGGCTTATATTTAGATCAAACATGATCAAACCATGTCCACTGCTTGACCTAGCTGACCTAGCTGTAGTGTTTTGCACCTGGAGACTATATCAAACCGTTGCGCTATATGGGTTACCATGGGTTGAAAGTTTCAGGTCTGTCGAATCCCTGCGACTGCGAACATCAATCCACGTCTCTCATTTCATCTCGTACCCCGGAGGCCTTGATCCCACAGGCCTTGATTTGACCTCGCTAAAGATCACTATACTTCTCAGGTCGATATCCTCACCTCTACATTAATCAATGAACTTTTTGCAACTCAAGGGACAAACACTAGCAGAAAGGCACGAGTGTTCATCTACTAGCAAAGCCACCAGCCCCCCTAAGGGGTGGTTATAATGGACATCCCTTAACCTCTAAGGAGCTATAGTTGGACACCCCGACACGGGGGCCCTGGTATATATTGTTCGTTCTATTTTTATCTTGGTGGTCAAATACACCATCTGCCGCCCTGGCTCCCCCAGACTCTCGTGGAGAACCGCGCCAACACCCTCGCACCTGCGTGCAGAACTCCAACGCCGACGGCGGGCGGAACTCGGGGGCCGCCGCGCTGAGCGCCGCCTGACCGGCGGGGCGACTGAACCGCTGCGAGTCGATGCGACCGGCGCGACCGGAGTCGATGGGTCGAGTGAGTGATGTGTGATGGCGGGCTTGGGTGGAATGATCTGTACATGCTTCGATTGGCCATGCCGGAACCAACAAACAGAGTCAGACTCGAAATCAAACCATGGCATCCATGGCATTGAAGAAAAGGGCTTTGCGAGTTTGCAGGCAAAGAGTACATGAAATTTCTTACTGACATCCGCAACTGCTTCGTTCACTGTGAGACGGGCTTGGTCGTGATAGTCAGATAGTCAACATCATCATCGTCTGGCTGTTTTTGAGAAAAGGATCCTCTTCGGATCCTCTTCACGCTCAACCTCCCATGATGCCCTGTGTCGAAACGGTCTTTCGGAAGGGGCCAGCTTCGACCCCAAGCTCAGCTCAGGATTGATCCGAAAACGGTTTGGTCACCCTTTGAAAGGGTCTTGCGCAATGCACGTGCCAAACATGTGTCGCTCTCAGATCCTATAATAACGACATGATCTAGAAAGTGTAGGAAAAGGGTCATTGTTTCTACACCACAGCTGCGCTTTGCTGAGCATGCTTTCAGTTATAACGGTTATTATTAGTCATGCACCAGGTTCAAACCAGATTAGCTCGCTCTGCCCCCCCACACACTTGAGAAGGTTGCTCCGCGGAGCGCGATTTCAAGCTTTTCGCGGGGATCATTAGCCCTTTAGGTGAATACTTAGCACTTGACTTGATTCAACGGAAAGAAGTGCTGAGTCCGCTCACTTGAATGCTTCAACAAGATGCATTAGCTCTTTAATGTAAATTAAAAATTTGCAGGTACACAATGTGGCGTCCCACATTGCTTCACCACGAGCTGACAGTGTCTTCGTTGGGTAGTGTCTGTCAGTCGTGCACTACCCCCCTGCGGAGTGTGCTGTACAAAACTTCCGGTTCGCGAGCAGAAGTAGTAGAAGTAGCTAGATTAGTTCCCTTCGAAACAGGGGTTGACACACACAAGAAGCCGAAGCGGCGCACTAGTACTATTCAGGGCACAACTCAATGCTTTGCTTTTTTCAGTCATTTATCCAGTCAGCTGAAGCTTGGTTTTTTTTCTCTCTCTTTTTCTTTTTCTTTTGTCTTTTTTCTCTCCTTTTCCTGCCAGGGGGTGAAGGGGTGTTCGGGCGTGCATTGACTAAA